TGCCTCCCAGGGAGAGAGACAAAGGAAGGAGGACAAGGCCTGGAAGGGATGTTTATTAGTTTAGTGTCTGGAATCATGGAGGAGGCAGCCTAAGCAAGGGGCTGGGATTTAGGGGCTCAGTCTCCCCCATCTCAAGGGGGCTGAGGCATCCTAGGCCTGGCCGTGTAACCAGATTACATCTATGCTGTGCTGTATCCTGGAGAAGCAATAAACTCCCTCTATTCTACTGAATGGTGGAGTCTGTTCGTGCCATTACGGGGTGCAGGAGTCGGGGGAACCTCATACATGGCTACCTCTCTATTACTACTTGAAGTATATGTTGCTTTTAACTATTCAAACTATAAGCTAACTGTAACTGAAATTGACTTCAAAGTTGGAACAAGCCTATCATAAATGAGTGCTTTAGTATCTCTGCTCCTTTATGTTCCCCATCCTTCTCTTAAAGTAGGCAAGGATATTATTTGTGGTTTTCAACATTGCTGCATATTGTGCAATAATCTTAACTGAGCCATCTACCAGTGCTTCCTGCAGGTGAGCTTTCTTTTTCAGAATTTATCAGTATGTATATATGTATAATATTATGGTTTGTATCAAAGAACAGGTTGGACTTCCCTGGTTTGCCACCCTTGAGACCTGATGTTGTCGGACCAAGGAGTCCTGGATTTGGGAGGTTCAACCTGTATATTGTTACAGAGGCTGCGTCTAGACTGGCAAGATTTTGTGCAAAAGCAGTTGCTTTTGTGCAAAATCTTGCCGCCTGTCTACACTGGCTGTGAGTATTTGCGCAAGAACACTGACTTTGTACTGTACAAAATCAGTGGTTCTTGTGCAAATACTTTGACGCTCCCACTCAGGGATAAGCCCTCTTGCGCAAGTATTCTTGCGCAAGAGGGCCAGTGTAGACAGGCAAGTTAATTTCTTGCGCAAGAAAGCGTCTACACTGGCACAGTGTCTTTCACGCAAAAGCATCCGTGCCAGTGTAGACGCTCTCTTGTGCAAATACTTTTAATGGAAAAACTTTTCTGTTAAAAGTATTTGCGCGAAATCATGCCAGTCTAGACGCAGCCAGAATGTATCAGTGTGTACCAGTGTCTATCTATCTAGTTAGCTAGCTAGCTATCCACACACAAACACACACACCTGAAGAACCTGCTTTATTATATAAAAATAAACACTTTTCATACATATGAGTAGTTTTGATTTTCGCCCTTCAGTTTGCACCCTCACATTTGTCCAAATTTAAATTTAAGTATCCCATTTCCAGTATAATTAGATCTTCCTATTTTTCTTTTAGAAGGACAACTACTCACTGCAGCTCTGTTCCCTCTCACTAAATCATCTTTTAATCTGACAGAACATTGTCCACTTATTCTGTTGTTATTTATTTCCCTTTAATAGTCTTTTGTCACATATCTTGTCTCAAGCCTTTAGAAAAGCAAACAAATCATGTCAACTAGTTGGTTCTCCACCATCCACTATTTCATTAGTATTTTTTCAAATAATTCTAACAGGTTACTGAGACCTGATTTACCCTCACTGAAGGCATACTGTTTTAATCCTATCAATTTACACTTATCCAACTACTCTGCCTCAGTTTCTACAGAACTGAGGTGAGGTTCATCACTCTGCAGTTCCTTCACTTCAGATGTAGTATCATATCATCAACTTTCTTATCCCCCCAAGGAGTTCCGAGGAGATTGTTATTGCAGACTGTTTTGCAACCAGTGCTGATACAACCGAGGCAGCTTCTTCAACTGTTAATTTCTTGGCACATTTCACTTCCCCTGACTGTAGCCCTCCTATGCTTATTTGTTGTCCCAGTTAATGTTCTAAGTAAAGGATGACACTACTACCCTTGCAAATATTCATGCTTTGTGTTCACTAGTGATAGAATTTTCAAAAGCAATCATCATTAGACTAACTTTGCTCCCACTGAGGAATAGGTAGGCCAATGATGTTTCAATTAAAGTAGTTGGCCAATGCTGAGGCCTGAATTCCTTGGTTTAAATGGGAGTTAGGTGCCTAAGGACCTTAGTGGATCTGGGCCTCAATGCCTCTCAAAATTCCACCCAGAATGCATCTTCTAGAAGGCTCAATCAACCTGAACCAGAAGGACCGTGTGAGCACTGGTATTATACAAATGAAACCAACCTCTAAATCTCCTTCACATCAAATATAGACAGCACAGTGAGATAAGATGCTGAATAAACAGCAAATAGTTGAAACTAAATGAAGGCAAGATAGAAGTTGTGCTGGTGGATATAGAAAGACATTTTGGACATCTGGCCAAAACTATAATGTCAACATTAGGCATGTGCCCTCTGATTGTCAAGCTAGGGCACACTTTCAGGAACCTTCTGTATTCTTCATTGTTCCTGGCTAACTGGCATAAATGCTTGCATTTTATACTCCTTCTCAGATTAGGATTTAGCCATGGTATTCTACCTGTTTGTCAACCCCAGGCTTATCTTCTGAAATGCACTGTGCATTTAAAAGTGAATGCCATGGAAAAATTGCAGATGGTGCAACATTTGGCAGCCTGTCTGAGTAACAAAGAGTTAGGAGAGCACATCATGCTGATGCTCTGCATGCTGTATAAACTCCCTGTCCAGAACTAGTTTTAATTTAATATTTCTTAGTGGATTTGGTACAGTGTGTTAATCTGTCTGTATAACTTGAAGAAAATTTCAGTTGCTGTACATTAAATGTAATCTTAGACAGTGCTTTTCTTGTAAGAAAAAAAGTGCTGGTACTGCAGGCTCAAAGTTGTTGAGAGGGGAAAAAAGAAAACCTGAGCGGGCTTCCATCAGAAGCCAAGCTACTCCAGGAAATAGGTGCCGGTATACCAGAGAGGAATCCCGTTAAGTTAAAGTATGATGGGAAAATTGGTGCCGGTATGCCACCCCAAGGCATACCGTCACAAAAAAATCACTGGTCTTAGAAACTTAGTCAGGGATGAAGAGGACCCAGAAATCTTAAGCTAAACTTTATTGGTCTGCCAATCTACCCTTTTCATCAAAAGCTTTTATTGCTTGGCATTACGGATTTATAAAATATTCCAATTCCTCAGTTTTAAAAATGAGAAGCAAACATGGGGGGAAAGCAATGCCCTTTTCAACCCCCAGCATAGAGCACTTACATGGAGATCACTAAGCAGACTGTCTTTAAAATAGCACTTCATCACCATGCATCTAACTTTCTTTTGTTATACATATAATCTTTATTACTATCCTGTGCACAATACAGTTCACTTTATTATGTGAAAGAAATAATCTATAGAAAAGCTACATTTAACTTCAATGCTATTGAGATTTATTTCAGCAAAACCATTACATTTGGAAAGCCTGGATAGCAACTATGCCTTTTCACTTGCAGCTTCCTATGGATGCTCCATTGTGTCTTTTAAATCGTAATTAAAGCTCAGTTTTACTATGTGCCTGTTTATAATTAAGCCTAAATTGAAGTTTTATGCATGTTGCACTGTAATAAAGGTGCCAATGGTTCTTTGTCTGTATAGTATCTGGTGTTAGCACTCTTCCTCTCTGATTGCCTACTAATGGCTCTTATCTGCCTCTTTTGACTATCCAGTCTTTAGGTGCCTATAGATTATTTGTTTTTCCAGTTACATTCCAGCTCTGCTTTCCCCTTGATATTTTTATACCCATTGCCTCTTCTTGTCCTCCCCTCCCATTTTTTCCTTCTCTCCCTCCTCCTTCTTCCCTCATATTTATTTTAGTTCTGGACATCCAACACTCTAGTCATCTGAAGAAATGGGCTATGCCCATGAAAGCTCATGATACCATCTACATGTTTTGTTAGTCTTTAAGGTGCTACCAGACTACTTGTTGTTTTTTAAGATTATTATGTAATAAAACAGTATGCAAAGAAATTGTAACTCACACAGAGGTTTCAGTGATTGTCTTTTTATGACTAACTACATAAAACCGAAGACTTTACTACTTACTATAGAAATATGACTTAGTTCAAAATAGGAACTGAATGCCAAAAGCAGAGATAATAAAAAATTAATTTTTTATATCCTCATAAAATGTATATTCATGCACACAAACTAGTAATACTATAGAATACGTTAGTATCATCGCTCATAAATAAAACTGCAAAATATTTTCCAAGATCAAAAAAGTTTAATAAAACCTTAATAAATATTTAGGAATTTAATTTGTAAAAAGGGGAAATTTCAGTTTCTTTTCAAGTTGTACTCATTTACCAAAAAAGAAAAAAGGAACGATCTGATGTAAAATTGATTACCTGAAACTATCTGATTGAACATTTATTGAACAATGCTATTCTTAGCTGAGGCCACTGAAACTAAGCAGTTTTTGACTGAGGACTTTTGAGAACCCTGGAAAATCTTTATTTGGCAATTTGTGTATTAAAACTACAGGGCTACATCTACATTGGCCCCTTTTCCGAAAGGGGCATGTTAATTTCAGAGAAGGGGCCAATGTAGACGTAGCCCAGGACTTAAAAATGTACATCTTGATAATCAACCTTAAATTACTGGGTACTAGCTAGATTTATGTTAATACTGACCCAATTAATATGCAATTATTACCCTTCACTGTGATTAGGTTAACTCTAGCTATAAAAGGGAACAGTTTGAGTTTATCAACTTAGGCTATATTTTCAAAAAATGATATTGTTCATTTGTCAAGAAATATGAAAAATGATATCCAACATACACAACAGCCAAATTCCTCCCAGATAAGAGAATATAATGGATTTGTGCCCAAGAACAAAGGAAAAGGTTGTAAATTCATATAGATCAATAAATATAGATAGTTGCAATTTTTTTGGAATTAGAGAAATAAGATACAGACCTTAAATTCTCCTTTACTTCCAAATTAGAGAGAAAAGGCCTGCCTTTGAAAGGAATATATAGATACTTAGGATATTATTTTTTTAAAAACAATTATTAGTCTGGCATTCATAACTTACAGAAACTCTTCTGTTACATGTCTAATAAGTGTATTATTTACCTAATGCAGAAGCAGCAACTGTGATGTTGTACCAAGGTATTTCCTCTCTGTCAAAGATCTTGGCAGTTTTAATGGTTCCAGTATTAGCATCAATGATGAAATACCTATCTTCTTCTGTATTATGATCAATGAAATATCTATGAAAAAATCAAAGGGCATAAATGAAGAGATCTACTCCTTGTGGCATATATTATTGCAAAGATGAAGTCTACAAAGGAATACAATATGCATAATTTCTAAGTTTTTAAAAATTGGTTCATATTTTTAAAAGCTTAGAAGAAGTTTTACATTATCAAAGGATTCAAAATAAAATCGATTTTTATTTCTTATTTCATCATTAATTCAAAACAAAATTTCAACAGGAATTTTACATGACGCATTTTGCCAGAAAATTATTTTTACATAGCAAGAAAAAAGTGCAATTCTAAAATTATTTTCTGTGACTGTGGTCTCTCTTGTTTTCTTATTTTGTATGTTGATAGCATAGCACGTCTCTCTCACTGACATTACTTTTGAAACATGATATAAAATAATTTTGCACGTAAAGGATTGCTTAGATAAGAAATGTCAGATTCATTAAACTGCAGATGACACTGGACTAGGAACAGAACTAACAAAGTTCGACTTGTTGCCATGAAAGGAAGAAATAAGAGTGCAGGAACACAAAGAAAGATTGACAAAATATTTTAAAAGCATCATTCATTCATGATGATTTTTAACATATTTATCATTTGCAGACCTCTATCAAGCTTTCTTTCTACTTCCAAACTTGTTTATAATCTCTGATGAACAATTAAGGAATGATACTGAATATCTCCTGAGTACCGTAAGTGATTTTGAGATAGTTTGAAAGTCATACTGTTGTTCTGTGATAGTTTATGGAAGATTTTTAGATCACAACAATGGTTTTGAAATATGGTATTGAAAAAATATTTTCATTATTAAAATTCATATATCACTACAATGCAGGAAAATAAAATATATAGTTCCTATTTCAAAAACCTTCTAAGTGCCTGGCTCCTGCAGACACGTACTAATAAAGACAATGATTATCAGAAAGGCCAGGTCTTTATAAAGCAGTGAGTCAGCGACCAGGGAGCTTTGCAAACAGGGGCTGCAAACAGGAAGTTTTGAGAGGGAGTTGTTCAGGTGAAGGAGGTGCTAATATAGGACCCTTGAGGGAAGTGGCTGTCTGTAGTGTGTGTTTGTGTTTCTGGGTGTGTTGCTGTGTTTGTCCGTCTGGTTTTTTTTCCCCAAGAAGTGAGTGCTGTGGCTGGCAGTTGGAAGCTGTGAGTTTCTAATCAAGGTTTGAAATCTAGAAGTGTCTGCTTATTGGCGGAGCCTTAATCAGGGGGCAGGGCTATCAGGAAGGTAAGGGCTTTATAAAGCGGTGAGTCAGCGATGAGGGAGCTTTGTGAACAGGGGCTACAAACAGGGAGTTTTGAGGGAGTTGGGAAGGGGGCGAGGTACACTCGCCATTCTTTAAAACCTTTACACAAAAATATTATCAAAACTTCCTGAGCTCAGGTGGGCCTTTAGGGGTTGATTGCATCAGAGGCAAGGATTTGAGCTGGGCCTAGCCTCAGCCTTATAAAAAAGGCAGCCAGAGTGAACGCAGAGAGCAGCGAACAGGGCAGCAGCCAACAGGTGAGTTTGCCTGGGAAACATCTGAGAGGAGCTCAGGAAGTATTTTAAAACATCTGAGGAATCTCTCAGAGCATGTCTACACTACAGCACTAATTCTAACTAACTTAATTCGAATTAGTTAATTCGAACTAAGCTAATTTGAACTAGTGCATCTAGACCTAAAAACTAGTTCGAATTAGCGTTTTGCTAATTCGACCTAGCATGTCCACATTGAGTGGACCCTGAACCGAGGTTAAGGATGGCCGGAAGCAGTGCCGGCAGAGCACCAGATTAGGACTTAGAGCATGGAGCTGCTGTCTCAGGCTAGTCGAGGGCTGTGCTTAAAGGGTCCCGGCCTCCACCCTGGACAGACAGTTCTCAGGGGTTCCCCGCTCGCTTGTCTAACTCGATGAGGGACAGCAAAGCAGTCCTATCTTGGAGTGCCCTGAATGCCCAAACTCGGCACATCACAGCACTCGGCCATCAGCCCGGCTGCACTTGCCGCAGGCTGCCATCCGAGGGGAAGGGATCAATCGGGGGGCTGCAGGAGAGGAGCCTGCAGAGCCACCCCAGTCCTCCCCATCGGGGGCTCGTATCCCATTCCTCCCTCACCTCCTTTCTTTTACCCCTTCCTAGCCCCCCTTCCTGATGTACAAAATAAAGGACACATTTGTTCAAAAATAGAAACTCTCTTTAACAAAACTGGGGGGGGAATAAAACTGGGGAGATGGGGGAAAGGAGGCGGGAAAGGGCAGGAGAGAGTGTGGGAGGGGGGAGGGGGAAAACTGGGAGGAGGGAGCTGGAAGGGGGAAGCAAGGGAAAGTGGGGAAACACTTTGTAGTGTAGACATACCCTTAGTAATATAACTAATACAATTTTCACTTTTGAAAGTTTTGCTGGTTTTCCTAGCTGTGTTTTGACAGTGGTTATGAGGGAATTACACACTTGTTATTGCACTCCTCTTCCTTGTTGCTACAGAGAGAACATTCTTTTACAGAGAAAAAAAACCCTCCTCAAAGCATGGCATGCTTTGCCGTGAAATTACTTTAAAATGTGCTTTGACTTTGATATTTACAGATTTATTCCCTGTTACAGAAATCACATAACTAAATCAGGGCTCGATTAAGGCCTCAAAACCAGAGTTCTACTAGTATGCAAAAATGCTCATGGGAACCAGAAAGAGCACCAGGCCAGGTTCCACCTCATTCATGCCTGGTTTGGTGGGACACACTGAGTCCCATGCAGCCCATGTAAGGTCCAGCAGAATTCCAGTCCCCACTCTTCAGGGCAAGAACTGCTCCAAGCATGCAGAGCACCCAAAGTGGCAGGAAGGAAGCAATGTGGTGTCTACTCGCATCCATCTTG